TACATCTTATTCATGAATAATTTACCCATTTTGCTTGTTAAAGCTGCCATAGTTGCCATCTGGCACTAGCTGAATTTTATAGTTGAAACCCAGCGCCTTTGAAATTTCATGTATCAGATCAACAACGTAACCTTCGAATTGATCGTTACCCGATAGCGGCACTGCCGATTCCTTTCGCATGCAATATGGATTACTCTGGAAAGAAAATATATTATATTTATAATAGAATGAAATTCTATTAACACCCACCAATATTGTTGTGATCGTCAGCGTTTTGTTCTTCAAGTTCGCTTCAATTTCGCGCTGTTTTTGGCTGTAGGTACGCGTAAAGTTGATACCCTCCGGTAATGTTGAGTTCCATGTGCCAATTTTGCGTATACCATTCGGTCCTAATTCAATAATATCCAACACGAAATCGGTGCGAAAGCCTTGATGATCAAATTTGATAACATTAGTTAGTCCCTTCATTTCGACGATCTTCATATAGTTGATTAAACTAAAACCATGCTGCCAGGTATTCTGTCCATCACAACTAATGGGATGTATGTCTATTTGCTGTGATGTATCCAAATCATGCAGCGCTTTAGAGAATAGATGTACTGCATCATACATGAGCGCTGTCTCCGCCCTCACCGTACTCAAATTAGCTGAGCGTTGTAAACCTTTATCGTCAAAACTCCACTGACGTACCACATCCGAGACGACTTTTTCGTTAATCAGACGAAATCCGGTTATATTCGTGCCACCATAACGGAATTCGTCTACGTTGATGGTATGCAGGTCGAGTGAAGTAATGAGATAGCTATGGTAATCGCTCATCATGCCAATCTGTTGAGCTTGCTTGAGTACTTCGTAAATTTTATCGGTGGAACAGTCGAGTACGATGTGCGCTTCGGCGGAGTTTTTGATTTGTTTGAGCAGTGGTCTGTGCAAATGAGGCGTGTGCGAGTGGTAAAAAGTAAAAATGGATTTGATTCTAGAGATTTAGTAAGTATTTTGCAAGAAATTAAACATGACATAGAAATATACAATTAATAAGGTTAGCTTTAAAAATTTTGGACTTGTAAAGTTCTTGTATAGGAGATTTCTGCCAAGAGTAAAAGGAATACTGTTCAAGTTAGTGTAAAGTACAGCCTAACTTCTATAAATCGAACTTGTATAAGTTGCGGTTCTGTAACTCGAGCTACGTTTGTAAATCGGGTAGTAGAAGTGGTAACTCCAATTTTTAAATTCGAATGAAATTGGAGTTCTGTAACAAACGTTCCGGAAAAAGCCTCAAACATACTCGTATCTCTCCGTTTTCATACATCAGTATTTTATGGTTTTTAAGAGCAAAAATTTAATCGTAAATTGAAGAAAGTAAATTTACCAGCAAAATTTAGGAAAATTATACATTTTATGAAGATACAAAAATAAAAAATATAAATAATTTTTAATTAAATACTGCGTTTTTTCGATTTCATTTTAAGTATTGTTAGTAGAGTTTTCTATTTAAATTTTAAGGCTAAAAAACTAAATGACATATGAGCAACTTACCTATTAGTATAGTGGGAAGGAATTACATTTTTTTGTACGAAGTATGACTCATACGTCAAGATGTTTTTCTGCTGCAGAAAATGTTTTTATGGGACTATTTTAAAACACGTTACCTCTCAAGGGCTAGTGATAAGGATTCTGACTGGCCATTGTGTGAATTTCGACTGATCCTTTTGTATCAGCTGTCAAGAGGAAGATGAAGTGGAATCATCTCCACACTTTCTTTTAGACTGTCCAACCTTCGCGAGGCTAAGAAGGAAGCATTTTGGCTCGCACTTCTGAACAAAACGCTGAGCTCTCAGGGACCGAAATAAGCCGCATTCGAAATTTCGTAATCGGCTCGCGGCATTAACTTAACCTAATCTAAACTGTACTTCTTTGAGCTATGAAATAGTTGGTCACATTAAGTATGAGCAGCAAAGTTGGTTGCTCATACGCCACGTATCCCCGCGTTTGATCGAATTTAATAAGAAAACAATAGCAATCGATAACGCGAAAGTGATTACTCGCAATGTAGGACTGACATTGGCTGCATTTCTTTATTCATTCTGAACGTTTGGCAAAGATAATGTGCGATGCTATCCACCTCTACATCGTCTCTGCAGCTGCGACAAAAACCCTTGGTGGAGTATCCTAATTATTTTTCATGTGTGCCCATAAGGCAGAAAAGCAGATTAGCCGAGTGAGAGCTACGCTTTACATCAAACTTTGGCCGCGATGACTTCAGCCTTTAGTGTGTTTGCAGGAGATTAAAAGCATGCACGCATTTTGAGCAGAATTGACTTCCGTCCCTCTTTTTGCCTGCTCGTAGGCTAAGCAGTTGCCAGGATTGTTCCAGTGTCCAGGGAAGCATAAAACAGTCAAGGAGCATTTTGATGCCAGCACGTTTAGAGTCTTCCTGCATTCTATGGCTACTTTGTATGTTGTGCCCATTGATTTGAGAGATATGATAAAAGTCTGGTTGTCAGAATAAAAAGCGATAGGCCGTCTGGGAGGGACGGAGGTTGGGAGCCTCCGAGCGGCCTCAATTATGGCGTTTATCTCTGCTTGAAAAACGCTACAATGCTCCGGTAAGCGAAAACTGAGGTTTAGCCCGAGCTCGTCAGAGTAAATAATGCTACCCACTTTTTTTGTTAAGCTCGGAACCATCTGTATACATATATAGCCATCGACCCTGGATTTAAGCCTGTGGCTCCTTCCCATTCGTTCCTCTCTGTGATTCGTATGGAGAATTTGTTGTATAAACAGAGTAGATGAGTGGTATAATGTAACTGTCGAAGATTATGCGGTAGAGTTTCAAGTACTTTTGCATGTCCGAATCTGAGGTCTAGCCACGGCTGGCTTGTAATTAACCTGGCCATACTGCCGCCGGCCCAAAATTTCCCATAGAGATCCAGAGGTGGAAGATTTAACATTATTTGGCGGGTATTTATGGGCAGTGCTGCCGTGACGAGCTGTGCAGCAGAGGCACTTGTTCCACCGGGATAGAGCAGATCACCAAAGCCTGACCCCGTATAAAATCATTGATCTTTTCACAGGTGAGTACATTCAGTGCTTTATATGCAGTTTTATACCCCATTTTGCCTATATCTGTCTTACAGGCATACAGGGCGGTATTGACCTTCCTGGAGTGGGCTTCAATGTTATGCTTCCAGGCAAGTTTCTTGTCTAGAAAAACTCCAATTATTTAAACTCGGTTGCGAGAGTAAGTAACACCCTGTTTAGGATGGAAGGTTTAAATAAAGGAATTTTATACTTCCTTGTGAAAAGTACCGTATCGGTTTTGATAGAATTGATATTTAGTCCACATTCCTTGGACCATATGTTTGCCTTTGCAAAACTGAGTGCATTTTGCAATAACTCACTCAGGGC